AAGTTGAAAAGTAGTTCATAAGAAAACCCTGGGGCAGATGTTGCAAACTGTTGGCACAGATGTGTTTTGTTTGGCCTTGGCAGTATTTGTGAAAAACACTAAGCCAATACTGAAAAATGTGGAGAGTCACATAAAAATCCGGATTTCCGGCTTCTCTTGAAAAACTGATAGGTCTGGCATCTCCAGGTCTGCATTCAGACATGACAGCGATTAGTCAGAACGGAGATGTGGCTGTCCCCTTTACACAGGGCATTCACTCGCCCGGTGGATACACATGGATACAGCCAGGCCTGCTGAAGCCACTGAGGTTACTTTTCTAGCTCTGTGAGCATCTGTTTGAAATTCCTGACCTGGGGATCTCAGACAGCTGCCAACTCAGTAGACGCCAACATGAATGGCTGCCCCGAATTTCACCCAAAACTCCAAGGTAATGAATGAATGGGAAAACAGGTTCTAAACCAGTGGTCCTTAACTTTTGAAGAGTCACAGACTCCTTAGAGAATTTTGAAAAATCAATGAGTCTTCTTTCCAGAAATAAGTCTATGATCCATACAAAAATGAATAATTTCAGGAAGCTGACAGTCCCTTAGCCCCCAATTCCCACATTAACAACCCCAGTTTAGAACAAGGAGGTAAACTGTCCCACTGTATGTCCAGACAGCGTGTCTCCTCTTGGCCAGGAATCACATTTTAAGAATGATGCTGATGGGGGTGCCTGGGTGGCTCGGTTGGTTAAGCATCTGACTTCAGCTCAGTTCATGATCTCAGTTTGTGAGTTCGAGTCTCACATCAGGCTCCGTGCTGACAGGATTCTAAGGAAGGAAGGACGGAAGGAAGGAAGGAAGGAAGGAAGGAAGGAAGGAAGGAAGGAAGGAAGTTAGCAGCTGACAAACTGTAAGGTAGCCAGGATGAGGAAGGATCAGTTTGTAAAGCTGAAGAAACTAAGAATGGTTAGTCTGGAAAAGGCAACAGTAAAAAAAGAACATAATATCTACTTAAAATTTTAGAAACCATAATAAGGAAAAGGGATTACACACCCGTCCAGCTGGCAGAACTTGACAATGAGAAGTTACAATGAGGTCTATTTTACTATTTCAGTTCAGTCTAAGAAGAAAAGAAGTTTCTTACAATTAAAGCTGTTGGACACTGGAACAGGCTGAGCCTGTCCTGTGAAACAACAAAGGAGTGAGCTGTCCATCCCTGTGAGTGTCCAAGCAGAAGGAGAAGGATAATGAAATGTCAGAGATGCCATAGGAAGGATTCCTGAACTGGGAGGAAGGTTGTCCTACAGATACTGGAAGCTTCTTACAAATCAGATGTTGGTGAGCTAAGCTGAAGAGGGCAGTAACGGTTTCTTCCCCTCCCAAACCTTAGCCTCGCTCTGATGCAACAGTAATACTGTAGCCAAGCTCCGCTTGAGAAGACAGAAGGCTGATTGTCTTGGTGTTTCTCAGTGAACTTGCAGGGCACTGGTCAAAGTCTGGCTTCTCTTCTTCAGCTGCCTTTTTTTCTAGCCCACTCCTCTATGCACCTCTTTTCTACCCACCGTCAAGCTATCTGTTCTAATTCTTGGGAAGCTGGGTAAGGTTCGTAGCATATCAGATCATGAATTAGTGGAACTGACTCATCTTATCCGCAAAGTTTGAAACATGTGGGCATTTAATTAAAGCTTTTGCCTGATGACTTCAACAGAAGAAAATGGGGAGAATTCCGTGCTGTATTAACTTTGTATGAGCGTCACAGTCTGGTTAGAAGAGGTCCCAGACTAAACCAGTTCAAGTCTGCCATGTAGGAGGTGGTCAATGAGCAAAGGCCCTCCGAAATGTGTAGCAGAATGCCGATCGGGGAGCCGGTTCCTAAGTTTCAAAGAACAAAAGAAAGTGCCTTCCTGAGTCTTCAATTTCTAAATCACTGTCTCCCCCAAAATAATTTTATAGTTAGAAACACCGCTTTTCAAAAATGTTTGCTAAAAAAGTCTTTCAAGATGCCATGAATGGGAAATAAACATACACACACACACACACACACACACACACACACACACACACACATTTACAGATTAAAAAGCACACTGGTTCTGGTTGAACACAATCAAGATGAAACTTATAAAACCAGAATTTCCTTCTGCCCGTAATGCCGCTCTCCTCCTGAGTTCCTGAGTGTTCCTCAGAAGCTTAGAAAACAAGTTCTGAAGGCAAACTTTTACTCTGTTCCAGGGAAGAGGGGAATCTTAGGCCTCTTGACCTATAAAACTCAGTATTTTGGAACATCTATAATTCTCCCAAGTCAGCGCCAGTCAAATGGAGTCTCTCTTTAGCAAACCACCAGCCAGCCAAGGCTGGACAGCAAAGCTTTTACCCCTAGGAGCTGACACGGATGGGATTCAAAAGCTCCCTGGAAAAAAAAAGTCTCTACTTGAGCCTGCATTACAAACTGTTGGAAAAGATAGATGGAGGGGATGACAGGAAAAGCAATTATTTCTTCTGGGCTTCCTCTCTGTCTGGATTCTAAGGAGACGAACACAAAATTCCACCACAGATTGAAATGCTATCTAAACATTCTTGAAAATGTGGTCTTGCTCTCTGTAATTTGACCCGGCCCCGCCGCAGCAACCTGTAACCTATTAATATGTGAAGGTGGGGAAGGGTGACATTCCCACGGGCTGTCGAATTTGGGGCCCGACCCTTCATTGCTGCTAGTTTGTGACCATGGGTTAAAACATAACAACTAACTTGAAAGATACATACCTACAAAGTATGACCCAACAAAAAGTCTTGATGAACCATTTACATTTATCTTCACATTCTTGAAATTTTAAATACCCAACACTCTTGTGAGCACTTCAGTGAGCCATTCAAAGTGCAGGCTGAATCACACTCAATGGTTGGGTCATGATTTCAAATAGTAGTCATTCGAGACTAGTCACACACAAATCAAGCTTTAAGCAACTTTACAGGGACACATGCTGATCAAAATGTTTTATGGTAAAGGGCTTTTGTTTATTTACAATAAATAAATAATCTCAATACAGCTGAATAAAACGTTATTCCATGGGGACTCTGTGTTGAGAGAAATATAAAGACGAAGAGGATTTAGTTCTTGCCTCAAGAAGCTTATAAACTAGTGAAAGGGACAAGATTTGTTCGCTGGTAAGTCAAAGGAGGCCACGAAAGCCAAACGGAGGACACACGCAAAGGCCTGGGAGTCTGTGGGCAGAAAGGATATACGTGTAGTTAAGGGATATCGAGATGACTCTGCTCATGTGTCGAATGAGAAGTGTGAGCCAGATGAGTTCCAAGTCCCTTCTAGGTCTAAAATTCTGATTCCAGTATATCCAGGTGAGCGAAACAGAAAATTTCATGGAGTGTTTGATCTGGGCCTTAGGTAAGCTTTTGAAATGACGTTACTGGTTGAAAAAGAGGAGGGGGCATTTCAGACAGAACGAAGCAAAACACATGAGTTCAGAAAGCACAGTGCTTGTGGAGCACGAAGTCTTCTGTCTGGATGGATCTCAGCAGGACACAGAACTGGAAAGGCAGACTGAGGCCTTGAATGCCAAACAGAGGAACTTGGATTCAATTTGGTAGACAGAGGCCACTGAGGTTTCTGAAGAGCCAGACGACAAGACCAGACACACAGAAGGAAAGTTAAAGGGCAGAAGGAGGCTGGACTCTTTGCAAGCTACCTTGTTACTCTTTATTACCTCTAAGGGCCCCATGGGCACAGGCCTCACCTGCCAAAGAAGTGATGCTTCATGGGAGAAACCTGAACAGACAAAAACAAAGCAGTAAGGACTAAAAACCATGCAGGGACCAGGAAATCGGATCCGTCGAGGAAATCGATGTGTCTATACACAAGTACTGCTGCTGCTGACAACGAGGAAGAAAGTAGATACTTACAAATAGGCCAATGGAAGATGATTATCAGGAGGAAGAGTCAGTCATAAAATACAGGGGAAATAGAGACATGGATAAAACTAAAAACATAAAAGAAAGAGACTCATAATACCTATGAACTACTAGCAGAGGAAACAGGAATGTGAGAGAGCAGGGCATTTACATAGGATGACACCTCCCATCCCCCCAACGTTTGGGTAGCATAATGTATATTTTAAGAAAACAGCTGCACTAAAAAATGTCAAAGAGAACACATAAGAGGATTGAAGCTGGGGCGCCTGGGTGGCTTAGTCGGTTAGGCGTCCGACTTTCGCTTGGGTCATGATCTCGCGGTTCGTGGGTTCGAGCCCCGCGTCGGGCTCTGTGCTGACTGCCAGCTCAGAGCCTGGAGCCTGTTTCAGTCTGTGACTCCCTCTCTCTCTGACCCTCCCCTGCTCCTGCTGCCTCTCTCTCTGCTAGAAATAAATAAAAACATTTTAAAAAAAAAAAAAAAAAAAAAGAGGATTGAAGCTATTATGGGGCACACTCTGACCTCCCGAGTTAGCACTGGAAAGGGAGCAGCAGACACTGCATAGGAGAAGACCAGAAAAGGCATGCACAGAATCTCTGTTAGGACAGCAATGTTTGAAATAAGATGCCTAAAGAGAAGAGAATCCAAATGAAAAGGAAAATGGTTAACAGATAACAGCTGGCCCCTCAGTCATGGAAGTTTGCCTCCTCCCCACACACCCCTTTCCCCCTTCATTCCCTTCCAACAGCCCTCCTTAGCTAGATTCAAAAAGATCCATAAAACTATGATATGAATCCGTGTCTGACACCGTGGGGAAAGCCAAGGAGACTCTGGTTTTCTCACTGAAGCCTGCATGGCCTTGGTCCGGGTGAGCTGTGCTCCCCTGGTTCAAGGGACGCCGGGTGAGAGCTCGCTGCTGGTCTGGGCAGCCCACCTCTGGTAGGCACAAGGCATGCACGCTTCCTGCTGCATGGGGGACAGATCAGAAAGAAAGTGTTCTCCGCAAGTAGGCAGATCAACATTTTGGTCACTTGGTCGTTGGGTCATGAAGAAATCAGGACAGTATGATTAATATGGAGATATAAGTTACTTACTTGCCTGCCATCCTGCCCCACGTTTGTCTGACCTCTTACAACAGTTCGAATATTGTCATCCAATCTCCTAGTGAAAAAGTGAAGGGATACAAATTGTTAAAACAATCTCTACTCTAGGGTGACCAAACGGAAAAAAGTTGGCAACTTATCCATTAACTTCCGCAGGGTGCACGTCCTTGTCCAAACAACACACAAGTTTGGATGACAGAAGGCAGACTGAGGGCCGGACCCCAGCTAAGGCAGCAATGGCCATGTAGGAAGCCAAGGCCAGCACAGACTGATGAGTAGACTTTGTCTTTTTTCCTAAATTTTTTTAATATTTATTTTTGAGAAGCAGAGAGAGACAGAGCACAAGCAAGGGAGGGGTAGAGAAAGAGGGAGACACAGAATTGGACGCAGGCTCCAGGCTCTGAGCTGTCAGCACAGAGCCTGACATGGGGCTCGAACCCACAGACTGTGAGATCATGACCTGAGCCAAAGTCAAACACCCAGCTGACTGAGCCACCCAGCTGCCCCAGACTTTGTCTTTTAAGTAGCCTGTTCTTGCTTAATATTCAGAGCTGTCCAAAAGAACTTAGTATTTTTCAGTGGAGAAAACCAGGAATGGCAATGTTGCTGAAACTCTCTGGGAACAAGTCAGAGACTTGAAATTGCCCCCCACAAATCCCCAGGCACAACCTCAAAAACTTAAAGGGCTAAGGGTGCTATATGGAATTGGTGCTTCATCCTCTGGGCCCTGACCACGATCCATGTAGGAGGTGGATCTGCAGTCTCCAGTTCCAACAGGGGCCATTTAGTGGCACTTCAACCAGAGAAATTTGTACCAGTTCAATTCCACTTTCCATTGAGAGAGTGTTTTAAAGGTATGTTGGTTTGCAGTGATTCCTAGATCATTAGGGAATTCCCATTTTCTGTGCAAATCCCGGCCAACTTAGTAGTCTCTACTAGAATTGTTAGAGTCGAAGCCCACCGAACAAGATGCTTCTTTGCACCTCCTCAGGCATCAGACTAAACAATACATTCATGGCAAAGGTCTTCACTCAAAGACCCAAAGCTTGTAAGGGAATAAGGAAATCATCTCCCGGATTCAAAATGAAGGCTTCTCTTCATCAAAAGTCAAACAAAACAAATACAAAAAAACTATATTTGAAGTACAGACTTCAACCGTGTGCCGTCTATCATCTTCCATGTGTCACAAATGGAAGTCCAGACATGGATAAACCAGAACCAGGCTACTGGGCAGGAAGGACTCTTGATGTCTAACTCTGACAAGCACACTCCAGGTTTATCACAATGTTTAACCTTCGGTCGCCACAAACGCCAATGAGCTCACGTGACCATATTGTAGCTGGTACATGGCCAAGGGATACATATATCCTTATATCTAAGCCCTGCAGGTACAAAAAACCATAAATCTGCTAAGGAAATAAAACCAATAAAAATACAGAAGAAATGTTTTTACTCCCTTTTGTAATGAACCATTTTGAATAGCCTGTTAAAGCTTCCTTCCCTTTTCACAAATAATTTGAAGACTGACCAAAAAAATCCAATTCTTTGCCACAAGGTTCAGATGGAAACCAGTTAAGGAATTATTTTTTTAAGTTGTCATAAACAGCAAACTTGAGATTTCAGTGTTCTAACAGTTAAGTGTGGTCTAGAATATGATTAACTAAAATCAACAGCATACTTTTCATCAATTATTAATAATCATATGTGTTACTTACCGTATTTTCAGTCTAATTTTGTTCACAACTTCATCAATGTTTGCCAGAGACTACAAAAAGAAGGAAAGTGCCAACAATTACTTCACTTTCTAGAACTTCTCCTTTACAGGGAAATAATGAGCTATTAAGGCTATTTATGATACCACAAAAGATTTAATCATACAGCGTAATACAATTTTAGCTTAAAAAAAAAAGTATGTGCGCCTGGGTGGTTCAGTCAATCGAGCATCTGGCTCTTGATTTTGGCTCAGGTCATGATCTCGCCATTCGTGGGACGGAGCCCCAGGTCTGGCTCCATGCTGACAGCACAGAGCCTGCTTGTGATTCTCTCTCTCTCTCTGCCCTTCCCCCACTTGCACTCTCTCTCAAAATAGATAAACTAAAAAAAAAAGTTGTCGGCAACTACTGCAAATTCCAGCTTGGTATCTATTTTTTTGTAAATAAAGTTTTATTGGAACACCGTCATGCCCATTTATTTGCATATTATCCACAGCTGCTGCTGAGCTACAAAGGCAGAGGTGAATAGCTGCAACAGAGACAGAATGGTCCACAATGCCTGAAATATTTCCTCTCCAGCCCTTTATAGAAAGTGTGCTGACCCTGGTATATAGGATTGTGGCAAATTCATACAACAAAATACATCAACTGAAATGAAAGAGTACAACATCCAACAGGGATAAATCTTACTAACATAATGTTGCACCAAAAAAGCCAGACACAAGAGCACATATTGTATGACTCCATTTATATAGTCCAAAAATGAGTGAGGCTATTCTCTCATGTCAGGAGCCAGGATGGTGGCTCTCTTTGGGGAAGGTAGTTACAGGGGCGCCTGGGTGGCCCAGTCGGTTAAGCGGCCGACTTCGGCTCAGGTCATGATCTCGTGGTCCATGAGTTTGAGCCCCGCGTTGGGCTCTGTGCTGACAGCTCAGAGCCTGGAGCCTCTTTTGGATTCTGTGTCTCCCTCTCTCTCTGCCCTTCCTCTCTCCCTCTTTCTCATGCTCTGTCTCTGTCTCAAAAATAAATAAACATTAAAAAAAATTTTTTTAAAAGAGAAGGCAGTTACTGCGAGGAGGCAAGAAGGGGTCCAACTAAAGACGGTGCATGAATGTCTTATTTCTCCAAATGGTGGTTAATATGGCCGTCTTCATTTTGTGAAAATTCATCAAATTGTACACTTAAGACTTGAGTGCTCCTCTACCTCATGTTATACTCTGGTAAATAAGTAAATCTATTTTTCCTAAGTTTGTAGATCCATTAGAAAAAAATGTCTGGAAGGATAAACACTGGTAGCTTTGGAATCCATATCGGTAGCTGTAGTCTATGAAATCGGTAGCCGTAGTTTTAATCTAAGGAGAAGAGATTCTAATTTTTTGAAATTTTTGCCTATAAGTATTTTCTAACCACTCTATACTGGCTATACATTGCTATTATAATTATAATAAAGTTATTTCAATTTTTTTAAGGCCATGACAAACAAATGGACTATTTCCAACCTTAATCAGCAGAAAAATGCGAGGAAATGGTGCCCCCTAGTGGAAAAGGGATTGTACAATTTTATAGCACCATTTTAACTCAAGTTTTCAAAACATAATTTTTGTAAGTCCTCTTTCCTTTTCCCTCAACAGATATTTTACCGCAGAAGGAAGCAAGGCTGATGCAGGGACTGTGGTTATTAATTGTTACCGGCAACCTCTGGCGGCAGGAGGAGGCCAGGGGCCTGCCAAGAGCAGGCCTGGTAAAAGAACCAGGTCACAAGTGAGATGTCAGACCAGGCCATTTACATCTTTGACTACTGTTCTGACGAAGCCACTGGTTACTGAGAATTTTCAGAAATCCAGACTAAGGTGAAGATGAATGTCAGAAAAGAGAAGTTATTTTAGTAACTATTTTAATTGAGGAATCTGCTGTCAAATTACTCTGAAACTGGACTGTGTATAAATCACCAGTGTGATAACTGGAGCGGAGTCTGTTCAAGGACCTACATTTGGCACAGCGCTGCCACTACAAACATGCTCTAGGTACAGAGGGCAATATACCTCCTCATGTGTACACTGGGCATAACCTGCTCCTCAAAAAAAAAAAAAATTGGGGGGAGGGCATTAAAAAATTAAAATGTTAACATCTGGGTCACCTGGGTGGCTGAGTCGATTGAGTGTCCAACTTTGGCTCAGGTCATGATCTCATGGTTTGTGGGTTTGAGCCCTGTGTCAGGCTCTGAGCTGTCAGCAGCTGAGCCTGCTTCTGATTCTGTGTCTCCTTCTCTCTCTGCCCCTCCCCTGCTCACATTCTGTCTCTCTCTCTCAAAAATAAATAATAAAACATTAAAAAAATTTTAATAAAATAAAAAATGTTAACATCTGAAGAACTGGGGTGAAAGGTAGCCATGAATTCATTGTACTAATGGATAACTGTACCAAATTTAAACATCATAATTTATTTGAAATCAGTAAAATAAAAACAAACAAACAAAAAAGAAACTGGTAAAACATGTATGTGACCAAAAAAGTCAAATGGTACAAGAGGATAAATTAGTGAAAATCAAGGCATCCTCTCCCCATCCTGCCCGTCCACCCAATGGCTCTGAGTTGGTTTCTTCTATTCCATCCCAGAAACAGTCTACGTATTTAAATTTAAAGCATGTCCATAACTTACGTCCCCTTCTTTATATACTGCACGTTGTCCTACATCATACTTTTTTCACTTAACAATATAACTTCGAGACCATTCCACAACAGTAAATATTGATTCAGGGCGGTACACTAACCAATTCTAAAATTTAATCCTTAAACACGAAGGTCTTGCTTAAATGCAACTATTAAAAGACCAGAAAGAAATATTTTAAAATTATCATGCTTGAAAAGATGCTCAGCATCATTCATCATCAGGAAAATACAAATCAAAAACCACACTGAGATACCACCTCACACCGCTCAGAGTGGCTAAAATGAACAACTCAGGAAAGAACAGATGCTGGCGAGGATGTGAAGAAATGGGTACCCTCCTACACCCTTGGTGGGAATGCAAACCTGAGCTGAAATCGAGAGTCCGGCTGCTTAACCAGTTGAGCCACCCAGGCGCCCCAACCATGTTACCTCTAAAGTTAGATGCATAACTTTATGCATCCCACGTACCCGAGGGATGTGGCACACTCCTTGCTAGGTCAGTAATCCTCACGGGGGTTGAGGGACTCCCTTGGAGTTGGGGAAATGCCCCAAAGGAATCCAGATTGGTGAGCCTGGGGGCAGGGCATACATCTCCTCTTTGAGAATTACCCATCTAGTTTAGTTATACAGTGGTTGTGTGGTTTTATCATTTAAAAACATCTTACTGAAAAGTATTTCCTGATTCTAATAGCAATTCTTGCTGATTATAGAAAATACAGAACTCCCCACTGCACCTCCATCAGGAAATAATCATCATGAGCATTTTGGCATATTTCTACTGTTCTAAGCAAATATGTGGCTTAAAAAAAATTAAACTGGAATGACACACAATTTGGCATCTTACTGTTTCCACTTAACAACATAGATCCAGAGCATTGGGGGGGGGGGTTCATTAAAAATTCTTTAGGAAAAAATCTTTAGAAATAGCTCCACGTGACTGTCTATCAAAGTTCTTAGTTATATCTGTTTTACAACCCATTTTTATAGATTTTATCTAGGTTCCCCTAATCAAACCTCTAAGACATGACAAATGACATTATCTTCAGTTTTCTACCAGAAGACGAGGAAAGTTTTCCAGATCGTTGTTACCAAACCCGGCTACTCTTCAGAAGTACCCTCAAAGCCCTGTTAGATACGGGAAGCCGAGCCCCTCCTACATGCACCTAGCAAGCTAGAAGTATCTGGAGATGTCCTCTCTCCAGGCGGACGCCTCTAGGCAACCAAGGGCGTGTGAGTCATACACACCGCATACACACCCTCCTCCTGACAGTGACACTAAACTCATTCTTGATACACTGGCATCTACTTTAAATACTCTAATCTCGCCTCAGAAGTATTGGCTGCAGGTCCGTGACATGTTTAGATGGGTTTTGCCCAAGATCTAGCAATAGGCGAAAGACATTACAGATCATGCCACTATTTTCTCTGACCTAGTCATTATGGTCCATGGGAATCTGGGCTGGAAAATGAACTGCTATTTAAAAAAAAAAAATGAACTGCTAAGTGTAAATCTGGGATTGGGGAAGTAAAGACTACCTTAGTTTCCTTAGTTTGCTGAGAAACTTCACTACATGTTATCATGCACATGGAGATATGATTCGACAAGACATAACTACATCCGTGGAATGACAAATGTCTAGTTGCTACCTTCAGTAGTTTAAAATCAAATACATACAGAAACATGTCAGGAAGAAATGAGACCCTGATGGTTTCCTATATAATTTCCAAATCTAACAATTATTATTGCTGTGTTTAGTCAGCATTCCTGATATGGTGGGGCAAATGATATTTTCAGAGCTAAAACTGTTGTCTTTATACCAGTTGTTCCCAAATTTCTATCTCCAACTAATTCCTAGAATTCCTCTTTCATTCCTCTTTCACAGAAAACAATGAGCTCTAAAGGCCATCTGTGAAACCTCAAAAAAAAAAAAAACCAATCACATAGAATCATAACATTTTTTCCAACTTTATTTAAAATGAATATGTCCATTAGAAAAATTTTTAATGTTTATTTATTTTTAGAGAGACAGAGTGAAAGTGGGAGAGGGGCAGACAGAGAAGGAGATAGAATCTGAAGCAGGCTCCAGGCTGTCAGCACAGAGTCTGACTGGGGGCTTGAACTCACTGACTGCAAGATCATGACCTGGGCTGAAGTTGAATGCTTAACTGACTGAGCCACCCACCCAAGCGCCCCTGAATATGTCCATTAGAAAAAGCTTGGAAGGGGTAGCCTGGGTGGCTCAGGTGGTTAACATCCAACTCTTCATTTCAGATCAGGTCCTGATCCTAGGGTCACAGCACTGAGCCCCCCATCAGGCTCTGCACTGAGTGTGGAACCTGCTTAGGATTCTCTCTTTCTCTCTCTCTCTCTCTCTCTCGCACGCGTGTGTACTCTCGCTCTTTCTCTCTCCCCTACTCTGCCCACTCTGTGGCTTGAGCACATGCTCTCTCTCAAAAAACAAAAATCAAAAGGGGGTGCCTGAGTGGCTCAGTTGATTAAATATCTGACTTCAACTCAGGTCATGATCTCACAGTTTGTGAGTTTGAGCCCCGTGTGGGGCTCTGTGCTGACATCTTGGAGCCTGGAGCCTGATTTGAATTCTGTGTCTCTGTCTCTCTCTGTGCCTCCCCTGCTCATCCTCTATCTCTCAAAAACAAATAAACATCAAAATAAATAAATAAATAAATAAATAAATAAATTTAATTAAAAAAATAAAAGAAAAATCTTGGAAGAATATATACCAAAACATTAACAATTATGAGGATTATGAGCTCCAGACTCAAATATCCAAGTCAATACTTCCACCTGGATGGCCCCAAAATGTTCAAAACTTAGCTTACCCTTCCACCCCACTCCTACTCTATTTGCCACTAAAGCCTGCTCTTCTTCCTTACTCCCAAATTAACTTAAGGGCATCTACTGTTGTCCCACTCCATGCCAGGCTAGAGAGCAAAGCTCAAAATCCTTCATTTGGGGGCGCCTGGGTGGCTCAGTCGGTTAAGCATCCAACTTTGGCTCAGATCATGATCTCGTGGCTATGGGTTCAAGCCCTGCGTCGGGCTCTGGGCTGACGGCTCGGAGCCTGGAGCCTGCCTCAGGCTCATGCTCCCACTGTCTCTCTCTTTCAAAAATAAATAAACATGAAAAACAAATTTTTAATGAAAAAAATCCTTCATTTGGCATTTAATGTGCAGCTGAAATGCCATTTCTTCAGGGGAGTCCTTTCGGGTCCCTTAGACTAAGCAAGGCCACGAGTTTCCACAGTACTTGGTGCCCTTCCTTCAAGGCAGTGCGCTCACATGTAAGCGAAGCCTGTTCTCCCTCTGTGCCTCCTTACTCTCATCGCAAACAGGCATGGTAAAGGGGTGGACCGATCACTGTTAAGTGTTCACGACGGTGTCGTGCGTTCAGTAAATGTTCACTATCATCACAGCTGTAGCCGAACTCCGGACTCTTCAGGGAGCAAGCAGCAAACCACACTTACACAAACAAGCTACTGTAGAGCTGTAATAACTCACTTAGAGTCTGTTAATGGTGTAATTATTACCTGTTAATGTAAACCAGAAGCTCTGTGTCGGTAAGGACCCCATCTGTCTTGTCCCCCCTCCAGGCTCAGATTTCTTAGAGAAATGGGCAGAACAAGTGTGTTTTGTTCAGTAGATGAGGGAGTTTTAGATTCCACATCCTTTAAACCACCGAAGTCTGTGACCCTGGCCTCCTAAATGGCTCCCTGGACTTGCTCTCTGCATCCCAGTCTTCACTTGGGCTCTCATCGTCCCCAGCAGGTGACCTGCTACCTGGCCTTCCTGCCAGTTCTCTCTGTCCTGCCCTCCCCCCACTCACCCTCTGCTTTCCTGTCAGATGGAATATTTTAAATGTGAATCTGATCCGGTCATTACCCTATCAAGAGTCCTTTTTCTTTTTCTTTTTTTAAGTTTATTTATTTGAGAAAGAGAAGGTGTGCACAGGGGAGGGGCAGAGAGAGAGAGAGAGAGAGAGATGGAGAGAGAATCCCAAGCAGGCTCCACACTGTCAGCACAGAACCGCACACGGGGCTTGATCTCACGAACCTTGAGATCATGACCTGAGCTGAAATCAAGAGTCGGATGCTTAACTGACTGAGCCCCACCCCTACCCCGGGCTATCAAAAGTCCCTAAGTGGACACCCAGTGCCCAGAGTCTCCATCTCCAGCGTAGGGCGCGCACATCCCCAAGGGGTTTGCAATAATGTCCATTAGAGTGTGAGGAGAAAACATTAAAACATCTATTTTGTGGGGCTGGGTACAGTATACTTTATTGACAGTACATGACAAAAACCTCTATTTTTATTATTTACATAATAAACACTATTAAAACCTGATTTATTTAACACTGGTACTCAGATACGTACAAAATACTCCGAGGCTATACAAGCTTAACTTTATCCCCATGAAAACGAGTTGCGTGGAAAATATTTCACTGAGAGGCATGTGGTACCCAAAACTAGAGCCTGCAAGCCTAGAGAACATGGTCTCTTCAGTACCCTTGCTCTGCCCACCCCGTCAGCCTTATCTCCTAGGAGGCTCTGCTCTCCATGCACACTCTGTATTTCTCATCTCCGAGCCTTCGTCCTGGGCTTAGAATGACCTTCTTTCCCTGTCATCCTAGATCTACCCATTGGTTGACTCTGCCTAGAACAGTGTTCTCCCAGTCTGCCACAGGCCCAGATCCTTCAGAGGCATCAAGTCTTCATCTAAAGGGAAGCAGCTCACCACCTATCTAAAGGAGCTCCCCCCCACCCGCCCACCGCCGCTGTCATGTTCTATTGCTGCACCTGCTGCATAGTATCAACGACATTCGATAATTTCTTCTATGTTTACTTGTTGATTTGTTTATTGTCTTCTTCCTCACACTAGACTCCATAATACCAGGAACCTGCCTGTCACACCATTTCTCTCCAGTTTCTGAACAGTGCCTGGCATTTAGTAGACCCTTAATAAATGCGTGTGACTAAATGAAGGAATGACTCCTTTAAGATCTGGCAGAAGGGCTGCCTCCTCTCTGAGGTTTTGATTTTCTTAGGAAGAACTGTTCCCTTGTTCCTCACTAAAACATTACATACTTCCCCCACAGCATTCACCAGTGTCTCCTCCTGACCTTGATCATGTACACTTCAAGGGCATGGACTGGGTATTATTCATCTTTGTGCCCCTAGCATCTAGCACGGTGACTAATACCTGTCAGGTGCCCACTGAATGTTTGCTGAATGTTTGTTTCCTGTATGGGCAAATCACCCAACATCACAAAATAAAAAACAAAGTCTGAAAATTTGCATCTCAAAATCGGAGTGAGATTAGTTTTATGACTCCAGGGTTATCCTGCCCACCTCATTCCTGCTCTTCCCAATTAGTTTTAAAAATCCTTTCTACTTCCCAATTTATACAGAAAATGTGTGCGGGGGGTGTCTCTTACAGGCTAAAGGTATTCTTTCTTTCTTCCTTTCTCTCTCTCTCTCTTTCTTTCTTTCTTCTTTTTTTAAGTAGGCTTCATACCCAGCACAAAGCCCAATGCAGAGCTTCAACTCATGACCCTGAAATCAAGACCTGAGCTGACATGGGCCGCCTGGGTGGCTTAGTTGGTTAAGCATCCGACTTTTGCTTAGGTCATGATCTCACGGTTCGTGGGTTCGAGCCCCGCGTCGGGCCCTGTGCTGACTGCCAGCTCAGAGCCTGGAGCCTGTTTCAGTCTGTGACTCCCTCTCTCTCTGACCCTACCCTGCTCATGCTGTCTCTCTCTCTCTCTCTCTCCTAGAAAAATAAAACATTAAAAAAAAAAAAGACCTGAGCTGAGATCAAGAGTCAGACGCTTAAGTGACTGAGTCACCCAGGCACCCCATTACGATTTCTAATAATATGCTCACAATACAAAGAATTCCACTCTCACACAACAGTATTTGGTATAAGGTAATTCCCCCATACCCCAATCGGTTACAACAGGGTTTGATTTGAATTTAGCTCTCATGTGTTTATCAAGTCTCCTTAGATTATGTAGCAATCACAGCAATCCTAACACTTGGGATGAGCCAGAAGCCACTGAAATGAAAGAAACCCTATACTTACTTGCTCTGTTGGGAACAGGGTATTAATATACTCCACCGCATTGAAATCTGCTCGATCTAGAGGGTCCTGGCTTGGAAACACCTATATAAAGACAGAGGGTTAAAAAATAGCTGTCATCTTGCTGTCTTGCTTAATGTATTCTTTCCTTCCTACCGGATGGTAAATTCTTGGAAAGCAAAAAACATACCCTTTTTCATTTTAAAAGGCTTAACAACAACTTCTTCATTTTATAAGGCTTAACAATTACATCAGCTGCTTGGGAAAATATCTGTTAAAGTAAATCTCTGATTTTCACTAACATCTGTAATTTTAACATCTTGGTACAAAGAACAGAATGTGCAACCATGGCAACACAGATGTCCACAAAATCCCAGGGACAAGGAAAAATAAACGGGCGTTGTCCACTCTCAGATTAAACCAGCTGATGACATGAATGTATTAGGAAAGGCTGGATAAAAGACGCAGGCACTATGTCTGTGTGATGGCTCAGTATTGGAACTCACTCTGCATGGAGGCAATTTTTATGCTCCAGATAGTGTCGGGAAATGGAGCTGGCATTCAGGAACTGTCTATCTCTTTACCAGAAGAAAGAATACAGCCTCTGAACTATAACTCCCTTCAAAAGCTACAACTTAAAGAACATGTGACAAGGTAGGGCGGTGGAGTGATGGATCCCCTGGGTATTGGATTTCACCAGCTCAAGACAGTCATTCTGAGAAGCCAATTCTTCCCTGATGGCTGCTTATTAGATAAACCTATGCCAGAACTCAGTCTTATTAAGAAAGAGCCAAAAGGCTCTCTTCTAAAATCCTTGCTGACCGTAACTGACTGCATTGTTTGTTTCTTCTATTAGGGCCCACTAGGTCCAAAGAGAAAATGAAATGTATGTCTGTTTCTGTCAGGTGGAGGTGGGTGGGGACTTGTGGCCTGAACAACAAAACCTTTGCCCAGTGGTCTGGCATCCTTTGGATGTGCCAAGTGTCCTTTGTATGGGTAACCCAATCACTGGTAGAAAAACACACATTCGAAAAATCTATAAATGGGACAATATAAATAAGTTAGTATGGTGGCAGACCTATAACAAGTATTAATGCTAGAAAAAAAAATAATACTATTAGCAATGGTAGTAGTAACGCTTTATTTCAAAAAACACTTTCCAGTGGTCATTAAATGTGGCATAAGCCTCCTTTTCTTAAATCTTACCCCCTGCACCGATTCCTTTAAGGGAGATCCTCTCTCTTTATCAGGAGCAAAATCCTGCACAAAAGTCTAGGTCACTATTTCCAATACAATACTCTTAAAAACTCAATAAACTTGATAATTTAATCAACCAAAGAGTCCCTGAAAGGAAGGAAGGCCTCTTAGGAATATTCAACCTAATCCAAATTAATCAACAGCAGAAATTCTCAACTATTTAAGTATGGTAAAGGGGTCCTTTCTCCACCCTGTCCCCTCTGCTCTGTGACCCGCTTCAGGTATTACAGCTGTTCCCCTTCTCAATTCCGAGTCCCTCACAAGGGGCTAGACTGAGAAGCGGGGGCAGCGGCACACCAGCCTGGTAAACAATCCCCCAAATCTGAGGATGGTATCCACGAACTCCCCTTCTTCCAGGTACACGCATTCAGGAGGCACGGTTCCTTTGCTCAAACCCACCAGGACGCCTCACCCTCCAGATAGGCAGGGCCTAGAAAGGGTTCTCTCCCTCCCTTGGATTCAGCAACCCCTTCCCATCACCACCTCCCCCGAAACCTTTCCTTTCCTTCGGCGCCTAGCTCCCACCTCTCCGTCCAAAGACCGCTTGCTCCGCATCCCACCTCGCGTCCCGCCCCCAGACTTCCCCACCCTCCGCTCTCCTCCCCCGTCTGGGGGCGGGCTGCTCACCTGCTCGATGGCGAGCTGCACATCAGGCGTGAGCTGCAGCACGGCTTCCAGCTCCTCCACGAACTCCAGTTCCTCCTCCTCCATCATCCCGCCGCCCACCTCAACCCTGAGTCGCACGTCCAGCCGCCACCCAAGCTGCAGAACCACAACCCTCTCTTTGCAGCGCTCAGGCAAACCTCCTTTTCTTCAGCCGGGCTGCTTCCGGAAAGCAGGGCACTTCCGGGATCCGGGGCACTCTGGGATAGTGGAGGACTGACCTCTGGGATAAGTCGAGGAGGCATTCCTGTCATGTCCCCGGAGTCTCCCAGGGCAGTTCTCTGGTCCCGCGGCCCCTGCCCTTCTGCTCTCCTTAAGATGGTGTGGGGCCACTCTTCACCTCGCCGAGGGCGCGCCCCCCCATTGAGGGCCCGGGTGTTGGGGAGGGTCTGGCCGACCCCCGGCAGGACCCCCAGTGAGGGTGAGCCCAGACAGCGTCGCGACCGACCGACAGCAGCCCTCACAGGCCGCGAAGCCGGCGATCCTACAGCTGCAGGGCCCCCTTGGTCAGTGGCAGTAGGTGTCCCCCTGCCACCGGGGGAGAAATGACCCCAGCTGGTAAGTGGCGATGTTGCCAAGGACAATTTGTCGGAGGGACAGCGTCCACTTGACAAGAGTTAAGTTCCCCGTGTGCCAAGCCTCTAGGCAGAGTTTTCTGGGGGTGTCTGCAGCTTCTCCCTAGCGGGGGAAGGGGTGGGGGGGGGGCAAATTAGACAGCGCTCCGCCGCTGGGGAAATGTTTACTTTCCGAGACTCAGAATATCCGGAGTCTAAATCCCATTCCACGACTGATAAGCTCTGGGTTCTTGGGCAAATTATTCCATCTGCCCCCCTTACCCAGCAAGGATGTGGTAAGCGTTAAATATAAAAAGCGCTATGCAAATTTAAGCTAGTAATACAGGTAATATTAGGGTGTCTAGCCCTCCTGCGCCACAAGAAGAGAGCCAGATCTTCCTGTGGAACTGCTTTTGCTCCAGACGCTTAAAACAATGAGACAATTGTAGCCAACCAGAGGAGTTGTTTTACCAGTGAATCATTGTGCAGTTACAAGGTGGAAGAGTCCCTGGCCCCGCTGAGCTTTTTTTTTTTTTTTAATTTTATCAAAATTGTAGTAGACATGGAAGCAATTCTAACGATAAGTTTTAAAAATATAAATTGGCTATACAAGAGAAGAGAACTGACTCATAAAACTATGGTTTTGAAAGTTACTTAATGACACGGGAAAATGTGCTTAATATATTTCAGGAAGTAAAACGTACATTTGAGAAAGCAAAAATGTACAGTATAGCCCCCATTTATGTGTTTTTTGCACATATAAAAATGATAGCAAGGAAATATTACTGTTCTGCAGGTGATGGAAAGTACACTCTGTATATTTTCCCAGAATGTCTATGAATAGCCTGTAGTACTTTTATAATACTTTTTTTAAAAGGAAAAAGTAGTTTGATCCACCTGTTTGGATTTTTTTCCATATTTTATAGTAGGGCATAATTTCCATCCAGTGGAATTCACCTTTCAGTTTATAATGCCATGAGTTCTGGTAAGGGCGTATAGTCATGTAACTACCATCCCAATCAAGACCTAGAACAGTTCTATCATTTCTCCAGATTCCCACATGCTCCACCCCATTGCCTGGGGCCCACTGACGTGATCTCTGTCCCTGCGATGTGGCTTTTTCAGAATACATGTGAATGTAATCATACCACATGTCGCCTTTGGAGTCTGGCTTCTTTCACCCAGCATGATGCTGTTGCATTTCATCCATGTTGTTGCATGTACCAGTAGTTCACCTTTCCTTGCTGAGTGTCTGCTATGTGCCTCTACGACAATTTGTTTTTCCATTCTTTGGTTGAAGGCCATTTGAGTTGTTTCCAGCTGTCTGCAATGATGAATAAAGCTGCTATAAACACTCCTGCGCAGGTTTTGTGTGAACAAGTTTTCATTTTACTTGCATAAATGCCTACAAGTGGGATTGTGGGTTGTATGGAAAGTCGGTGTTAAACTTTATTAAGAAACTGGTAAACCGTGTTTCCAACAAAGCTGTTTAATTTTTGCATCCCTACCAGTGAGGTATGAGAGTTCTGGTTGCTCATAGAGCTTGTTTTTAATGATGATAAGAGCTAACATTTCCTAACCCCTATTACATGCAAGGCACCATGCTAGGCATGTGTTCTCTCTTTTCATCCACATGGAGATTCTGAGATTGGAAGTTAGTATCATTGCTCCATTTAGCAGATGAGAAAATGGAGATATAGTTAAAATAGATAACTTGTGGGGTGCCTGGGAGGCTCAGTCGGTTAAGCGTCCGACTTCAGCTCAGGTCATGATCTCATGGTGTATGAGTTCAAGACCCGCATTGCGCTCTGTGCTGAGGCTCAAATCCTGGAGCCTGCCTTGAATTCTGTCTCCCTGTCTCTTTGCCCCTCCCCCACTCATGCTCTGTCTCTCTCTCTCTCTCAAAAATAAACAAATACTAAATAAATAACTTGTCCAAGGTCCCATAGCTAACTCTTCCAAACATTCATTCACTCATTCAATAAAGTCAATAAATGTATTAAATAAGTGAATGGGTGTGCCTGCCTCCACAGAGCTATTTCCATGTCTGGAAAAAGTATTCCTGCTAATAAGCATAATGAAAGACAAAACGTATGTTCAAAGACTATTTTGATAGAGTATTCTGATTGGATTTGGGGGTGAGGAAAGGCATCTCTGAGGAAGTGATTTTTAAGCCGAAGCAAAGAGTGGGTGATGAGAGAAATTGGAGGTGCCAGATGAAAGGAATGGTGTGTGCAAAAGCCTTGAGGATGGAAGAAATTGGCCAGGGGGGTGGGACTTCGAAAGCCAAAGGGGAGAATGGTACAAAGAGAGGCTAAAGAAATACGTGGTGCCAGATGATGTAGGCTCCTGAAGGCCATGTTAAGGAATGAGAAGCCTTGTTGGGATTGTGAGCAGAGAAGTGACATGACCGAGTTCAGCATGCCTGTCATCAGCCCTTGTCCTCTGACTCTGGTCTCTGTTTCCCAGAAGCGGGCATAATTGTGGCAGGTCATGAAACACGGATGACGGGCTCCAGTCCAGACCCATGCTGTCTAGTTTCCACTGCTTGTCCTTTTATGCACTATCAAGTCAACTGCCTTCTCCCTGCTTCCCTACTCTGAAGCTCCCAACTTAATTATTTCCCTTCTCTCTCTTGGCAGATAAGATAGTAGTAATGAACATAGGCTTGGGTTTAAGAGAACTGCCCAGTACAAAAGTGTAGGAAGATAAAAGGGGGACCCTAGATTTTTTAAAAAGTCATTAAGAGGGGCGCCTGGGTGGCTTAGTCGGTTAAGCGTCCGACTTTTGCTTAGGTCATGATCTCGCGGTTCGTGGGTTCGAGCCCCGCGTCGGGCTCTGTGCTGACTGCCAGCTCAGAGCCTGGAGCCTGTTTCAGAGTCTGTGACTCCCTCTCTCTCTGACCCTCCCCTGCTCACGCTGTCTGTCTGTCTCTCCTAGGGGAAAAAAAAAAAAAAGTCATTAAGATAAGTAATAATAGGCTAGACTTATTTATGATAAGCAAAAGAGGGAAATGGAAGGAGGAAGTCTGTAAAGACAGATTATAGAGTTTTAAGATAAATGAAATATGGAAGTTTACATATGTGAGAAATTTGGATGTGAGAATAAGGAGCATGTGATATTCTCACAAATTTTTTTCCTGTTATGCAGTGGGATGGGGTATAGCTGATGACAGAGTATTATAGAAAACATATTTTCTCACTTGAAATTTCACCTGATGCATAAATTCAGTCTCTAATACTTAAAACCCACTTGCATACTTTGGAGACCCTATCCTTTAATAGGCCATGGAAAACCAGGGGTGGTGGTAAAAGTATAGTAGGCCGCAGGGGATTCGGGGATGCATCTCAGGACAGCATCAAAATAAGATGGGAAAAACCAGGAACCCCCAGATGAATTTTCATAATGTTTTTCATTAGGATGGAAGTATTAAGTAGTTTTAAAATAGCCTTTGTTAATGATATCCAGTGACGGCTCTCAATTTCATGTGCCTGTCAATTTAGCATTTCTTTCTAACTCTGCTAAAAGGAGTCTCCAGTATCCTGGCATGTATACAGCTGGTTCATTGTTTTTGAAGTGGCTGTACTACATTAAGTAGACGTCGTGCGGAGTATTTTATAAGATCAAGACACTATCTTTCTTCCTTTTAAGCTTCCCCTCCATAATGACCTTCCTCTAACCAGCTGAGCTTTTTGTGAAATTTCTTGTAAAAAAAAATTGCAAAATGTCTGAATTACCTGATCCTTACCCACTAAAGGCCAGTAGCATAGCCCCATTCCAACATTGTGGCAACCAAAGATATTCCTACAGTTTTCTAAAATGCTTCCTAGGACTCGCAAACACAATTACACACGGATCCCATCGCCACTATGGGTGGCAGGGTTCCCACGCCGACTTGTAACTGGAGGAATAGAATTTGATTTCTTCAAGAAAGCTGGTTCAAACAATGTTTGCTTGGCACTCCTTTCTGGGCCGTTTTTAGTACACGGCTTTTCACACTGACATGGTCTTTTGCTGTCCTTCATTCCTCAATTTTTTGAGTATCCCGAACCACCAGCTTTCGGTCTTGATCGGCAGTCAGACGTCCTGCGTGTCCCCGTAGCCTGGGCACCCAGTTTTGTTTTGATGGGTACGCTCGTTGTCTGTGCATGCCCGTTCTTGCCAAACAGATCCTAATCGCTGGCTAGCTTCCGCGGCTCCCCTGTTCCCACGACCATAGCTCAGGCATTCAGTCATGCACGCAGGCTTGTTCCCAGATGCCTTTAGAGCTTCCGCAGTGGCTACGCTGGGTTCACGTTCAGTAATTCCTTCACCTACTTGACAAGGTTGTAACTACATAGGCCACAATGACACACCTTTGGTGGAAGTCTTACTCTTTGCAACCAAAATAAAAACATTTGGTTTTATACAGTTGATGTTAACTGATGAGTACAATCATTACATCCTTAAGCATCGTACAATGCCACTGTCACCTCCAGCCCTGTTTTCTTGTTTCTTTGGCTCCCCTTCTTCTGTTGCATCCCCTGAGCTTGATCTTCAACCACTTCTCTTCTCCTGGTCTACACCAGCCTACACTCAAAATATTTCTTGGGTCTGGATC